TTTAGGGGTTTAGGGTTTGAGGGTTGGGGCTTTAGGGGTTGAGGGTTTAGGGCTTTTAGGGTTTAGGGTTTAGGGCTTTTAGGGTTTAGGGTTTAGGGGTCTGGGGTTTAGGGGTTGTAGGTTTAGGTTTGGGGGGTTTAGGGTTTAGGGTTTAGGGCTTTTAGGGTTTAGGGGTTTTAGGGTTTAGGGCTTTTAGGGTTTAGGGGTTTAGGGTTTAGGGCTTTTAGGGCTTAGGGGTTTAGGGTTTAGGGGCCTGGGGTTAAGGGTTTAGAGTGTCAAGAAGGGATTTCCTGATCGGAGCTCTAGCCCATAGTCCATAACTGGGTTTGGGGTTTAGGGTTGGAGCCCTTGTATCACACCACGCTACTACTAAACACCATCAAGTCCAAGTTTCATCTATAGTTACCCTACTTATAACCCTACTTATAACTACCCATGAACCCTCCAAGTACCAAGACGCCAGAACCATGGGCTTCAGGTTGCCGAGGCCCAAGGGGCGCCCGGCAAAGTGCTGCAGACGCCACTTATTTAGGGTTTAGGGTTTAGAAGCCAACTAAATCCTAACCCCCCCCCAAAACCCTAAAATCCCTAAAGCCTGCAGGCTGCAGAGACTCGAACCCTCCCCCCTTAGCTCAGGAATCAAGCCGTGCGCGTATCTTTACTTCGAACAGTACTTAGTTCTGGTTTCTTCATAATTGTAATATATATATATATAGCTCCTGGAACAACCCACTCAGAGCTTCGGAGGTCCCTGGGATCCTGGATCCTTGTTCCTCAAAACTCGCCAGCTCCAAGCCTCATGTCCTTCAACCCCAAGTTTTCAACCCATGCTTGAAGGTTCATGGGTAGCGTGAAGGCTTTTAAGGGATCTATAAGGGACTCCTATAAGGGATCTATAAGGGGTCATACTTGGAGGTTCATGGGTAGCTTTAGGTGGGGGTACAAGTCCCCTAGTATAGTTTATAGCTATAGTTTTCCACTTATAACCCTACTTCTAACTACCCATACCTGCAGAAGTCACTCCTAAGCCCGTAAACCGTAACCTCCTGAAATCTTAGCACCCTTGATCCCCAAACTCCCAAACCTTATATCTCGCACCCCTACTCCTCCTTAGACTCCAATGAAGTACACCCCTACGCAGCCCTAAACTCTCTACGCCGATGCAGGAGCTGGCGTTGAGGCATCAGGATGTTACCGGTCACTTCGGCGAGATCGTCTCCAGGGACGAGGTGGCATTTCCAATGCTTTTCCTTCTCTACAGACCCTAAGCCCTATGGACCTATAGACCCTAAACCCTAGACCCTAAACCCTAAACCCTAAACTGCTAGCTGTTTAGTGATGCACTTCGCTTTTGCCGGAATCTTGCGGGTTTATGCCTATGCTTTCTGCTTTGCTGGAGTCCTAAGTAAAGCGGCCTCAAGACTCGGTAGGATAGCTATGGTATAGAAACCCGCAAAAACCTGGTCGAAGTCTTCAGGACTTCGATATCTACTCGATCTTCATGACGGCCCTTAAATAAGATATTTTGAACACCTTTGTTTTTGGGTGTGTTAGAGGTCTGTAGTTTGAAGTAGGGGCTTTCCTGTATTGCTATGTACTTACATAGACCCCTAAATTATCCCGAAACCGTTCAACGAGTTCAGCAGTCAGAATCTATGGTTTGGGATTTGGGGTCCCGGTGATATGGCTGATGGACAAAGTCCTTCATTACCTGTATCAGGGAACATACCGTAATAGGCGTAGGTTAAGGTCTGGTTGGCACCCTAAACCCTAAACCCTAAACCCTAAACCCTAAATGATTTTCTTGTCCTCGTAGGGTGCAGGGTCAAGGACTTCAGGGCTTAGAGTGCTGAGGTTGCTACTGCTCTGGGGGACCTAGATCCTAGACCCTAAACCCTAAACCCTAAACCCTAAACCCCAAACTCTAAACCCTAAACCCTAAACCCACAACCCTAAAGCCCAAAAACCTAAAGCTCTAAAGCCGGCAAGCCCGAAAGCCTAAACCCTGCACCTCTAAACCCAGAAACCCACAATCCCCGCCCATGACGCTCTACACGCAACTAAATCCAAAAAGACCCACGTGATTACCGTCCTGGAGCCCTAAACCCTAAACCACAAAACCTAAACCCCCTGAGCCCTAAACCCTAAACCTTAAACCTTAAACCCCAAACCCTGAACCCTAAACCTTGAACCTTAAACCCTAAACCCCAGGTGATCACCGTCCTGGAAGCGACCACTGCGATGCCCGGCCTCCGACGACGGAAGTTCCTGCGACGTGGCCGAAGGTGACACTGGAAGCTGTCCAGCTGGCCACTTTTACGTGATTAGTCATTGCCTCTTATGCTTATTTGTTATTTTCGCATTGCTGTTATACTTATTTATATTTACTTTGATTGTGATTGTTTTTGCTGCTGTTGCGGTTTTTGTTTTTGGGGTGGCGGCGGGAGAGGGACCACCACAAACTTCAAACTCCCCGAAGAAACCTGGATGCAAGTCCTTG